TGACATGTGTACATCCCTCCCCTCTCACTAGAGACCCCATCCTGCCCCCATACCTCGTATGAGGAGATCAGGGAGCAGAGAGGTGCTGAGAGACCCCAGTCCACCCCCCTCCTTCGTCCCTGAGCCCCCCAAGGTGAGACCCCCTTGAACCTCACCTTCCTAACCCACCATCACCTCTCAATCCCCTGAACCCAAACCCTGACCCACATCTTGCGCTTATAAGACTTACTAAGGTTACTATCCTCTTCTATTGCAGCAGATGAGGGTGCAGTCTCGCGGGGGCTATGACTCCCACTCCAGTAGCACCATTAGCAGCGACACTGCCGGGGGGCCCAAACCAGCCCCGCCCCCAGTGGCCCTCAAGCCCACCGTGGCCCTTAAGCCCACCCTGAGGGCGCTCAGCCAGTCGTCTGAGGACCACTCTGTCCCGGAGGGTGAGGACCCGGCCAACCGCTCCTTCATGGGCAAGGTGAAGGCCTTCGAAAAGATGGACCACCTGGCCAGAGCCCAGAGGATGCTGGAGCTCCAGGAGGCCGAGCATGCACGGGTCAGTACAACTGCTGGTGAAAACTAAGTATAGATAGATAGTAATGCTCCCAACAGTAAGATGTAATGCTTCATAAACAGAAACTAATGGAGCTACAGCATTCTAAGTGTAATCATGTCATATTCTGGTTAACTTTGCATTGCATGTACCCAAAGGTATATTCAAGTGCAGATGTTGCCTTATTAGTTTGTAATGTACAGTTCATTCGGAAAGTATTCAGACCCACATTTTGTTACGTAATTATTCTAAAATCAATCTACACACAATACCCCATAATGACAAAGCGAAAACGGGTTTTAATAAATATTTGCTAATTTATTAAAAATAAAAAACCAGAAATACCTTATTACATAAGTATTCAGACCCTTTGCTATTAGACTCGAAATTGAGCTCAGGTGCATCCTGTTTCCATTGATCATCCTTGAGATGTTTCTACAACTTGATTGGAGTCCACCTGTGGTAAATTAAATTGATTGATCAAACATGATTTGGAAAGGTACACACCTGTCTATATAAGGTCCCACAGTTGACAGTGCATGTCAGAGCAAAAACCAAGCCATGAGGTCGAAGGAATTGTACGCAGAGCTCCGAGACAGGATTGTGTCAAGGCACAGATCTGGGGAAGGGTACCAAAACATTTCTGCAGCATTGAAGGTCCCCAAGAACACAGTGGCCTCCATTCTTAAATGAAATAAGTTTTGAACCACCAAGACTCTTCCTAGAGCTGGCCGCCCGGCCAAACTGAGCAATCGGGGGAGAAGGACCTTGGTCAGGGAGGTGACCAAGAACCCGATGGTCACTCTGACAGAGCTCCAAAGTTCCTCTGTGGAGATGGGAGAACCTTCCAGAAGGACAACCATCTCTGCCGTAGAGTGGCCAGACGGAAGCCATTCCTCAGTAAAAGACACATGACAGCCTGCTTGGAGTTTGCCAAAAGGCACCTAAAGGACTCCGACCATGAGAAACAAGATTTTCTAGTCTGATGAAACCAAGATTGAACTCTTTGGACTGAATGCCAAGCGTCACGTCTGAAGGAAACCTGGCACCATCCCTACGGTGAAGCATGGTGGTAGCAGCATCATGCTGTGAGGATGCTTTTCAGGGGCAGGGACTGGGAGACTAGTCAGGATCGAGGAAAAGATGAACAGAGAAAAGTATAGCGAGATCCTTGATGAAAACCTGCTCCAGAGCACTCAGGATCTCAGACTGGGGCGACGGTTCACCTTCCAACAGGACAACGACCCTAAGCACACAGCCAAGACAATGCAGGAGTGGCTTCGGGAAAAGTCTCAATGTCCTTGAGTGGCCAAGCCAGAGCCCGGACTTGAACCCGATCGAACATCTCTGGAGAGACCTTGAAATAGCTGTGCAGCGATGCTCCCCATCCAAGCTGACAGAGTTTGAGAGGATCTGCATAGAATAATGGGAGATACTCCCCAAAACAGGTGTGCCAAACTTGTACCGTCATACCTAAGAAGACTCTGGCTGTAATCGCTGCCTAAGGTGCTTCAACAAAGTACTTATGTAAATGTGATATTTCTGTTTTTTAATTTTTTATAAATTTGCTAAAATTTATAAAAACCTGTTTTTGATTTGTCATTATAGGGTATTGTGTGTAGATTGATGAGGAATAAAAACAATGTAATCAATTTTAGAATAAGGCTGTAACATAACAACATGTGGAAAAACTGAAGGGGTCTGAATACTTTCCGAATGCACTGTATGTAATGAATGTGATTTGGCATAACTGGGCCTCCTCCTGATCTCTGACTGTAGCTGGAAATAGCCCAGAAGCATCCAGACATCTATGCAGTCCCAGTGAAACTACCAAAGCCCAACCACAACCGCCCACAGCCTATAGGGTAAGTTCATATATTAACCTTGTCTGTCACCACACAAATTAGAATTTTTACTGAACTTTCCACTGCCTGTCATGGGTTGGGTTCAGGTTGTGTTGAATGCTTTTTTTTTTCAGACTTGATGCACAACAATCAGAATTAACTCAAATGTATTTCTCGCTCTCCTATGTCCAGCTCCAGCTCCAACCCAGAGCCCCAGACCCCATCCTCCAGGCCACCGTACTCTGAGAGCAGGGGTCACTACGACGACGATGAGGAAGAGTACCGCAGACAGCTGGCCGACCAAACCAGACGAGGCTACTACAGCAACCCCCAGAAATACAAAGACACTGAGCTGTAGGAAAGACGGACCCACCTATCACACCCTACCGTTCTCACCCAATCAGGGAGGCCCTCACTGTGCTCACTCAAACAGCCTAGTGTTATGGTTGCCTGTTCTGTGGCCCAACCTAGTGGGAGAAGGATATATCCTGTTCCTTGTGACCACTAACCAGATATGTGTCCTGACCTTGACCATTTGTTTGCCTCACTATGTGGATGGTGTATCGGCCTTTTAACCTCCCAACCCCACAATGTCTACCCTGCTGGGTTGTGTTTGATCTTCACCCCCAACCCCTCAGTCATATATGTCCAAACCAATGGAGTACGAGTACCCTCTGGTTTTGTTTTTTTATAAACCTTACATTTCAGTGTGTATATATATATATTTTATCTTTATACATCTTAAGCATTCTTTGTTACATTAAAATACAAACATATTTGGACAGACACAGGATATTCTGTGTCTACTGCTGCTCTATATGGTCTGCTAGTGGCGGAGAATCTAGCCTTTATCCTTTTAAATCATGCATTGCATACCCTTTTGATTTACTCTACACTTGGACATTCGGTCTCCTTAAATACTAGAGATCAGCTCATACAAAGTGCCTTTAGCTCTGAAAGTGTAACAATGTCCGATCACTGAAAGAACAAACAAGCAGTCAGCACTTGTGATGGGCAAAATATGCCAGTTTACTTCTCTGTATTAGCTGCATACATACAACCTGAGACAATCACATTTTTATGGCATATACAGTATATACGTACTAAATAGGGGACAGTCTTTTTTTTACCTGGGTGTAACAGGAGAGTGATTCTTACTGTCTTTGCTCTACATGTCTGTATTCCTCTACTATCTTTGAGTCATGTTCCTCAGGCGGCTGAAATCGACTGTAGGGAGTTAACTTTCTCAAACAAATATACATAAATAAATAACAACTTTCACTTGTGTCTTAGTTCATTCTCTAAATAAAGGTGACAGTGCTGTGTGTATTTCTAATGCAGCCTCAAGCAGGATGGCTTCTGGGAGTTAATTCAACCAGGCGCAAATTATAGCACAGCTGCAACATCTAACATCTAACATCTAAGGACATTGCCTTTGCTTTGCAGAGTTACATATTTTTACATGCAAGCCTGAATTAATTTTTTTGGTACAATGAAAAGCTCACATTTTGGTTACCATGCCCCTATGGAGACAGTTTGCATGTATATAATTATTATAGTACATTCATAGGACTCTGAAAGACCAAATGCATTCCTTGCTCTAAGTCCTTCTTAAATATGCACATTAAATTCACAGTTGTCTTTGGTTATTGATCAAACACATCACATTTATACTCTGTCTGGTAAATTAATCTGTGCCTTCTTACTTCAGCGATGCACCTTTCATATATATTATGAAAACTGATTCAGATTAAGGCAAGTCAGTGCTGAGAGAAATGAAGAAAAATGTTTCAAGCACACAGTGAGACAACGTGAAAAACCAATGAATACATGGTTAATAAATAAATTCATGTAACTAAATAAAATGATAGTAAAATCCTCTTAATGTGGACAGCAGTCTCAGATGTAGACTGGCTGTTCCTGGGCAGTCAGCAGACGGTACATGGCTGCAGGCATAGTCTTCATGTGGATCTGCAGCACAAAGAAATAACACATAGGTTGCATAATCAGAGACATGCTACACAGCCGGGCATGAGGTTTCCTGCTGTTCTCAAAAATTAATCATAGCACCATTTACAGATTCAATTAGGATTATTTCAACTCATTACTGAATTGACTGAGTTCGAATAGATTGACCCTCAACCCTGGACTGTAGTACATTCTAGCTGTTAAGTGTGTTCTCATACTTCTCCCACTGCATTAGATAGGATGTGAACAATCTTCTCATGAGGCGTGGCCACCACACTCTGGCCGTTGATCTCAATGATGCGATGACCGACGCGGACACCCCCTCTCTCAGCAATGCCCCCCCTCATCAGGCTGCAGATCTGTAGAGGAAGGAGAGAGGGACACTGAAACAGCTGATAATGAAAACTACAATCTGTGTTAAAAAAAACAATTGTACAATAGTAAGAGAAACAGAACAACCATAGAGGATTCAAAACTAGGAGACATCTGTATTGGTTTCTATTGTCATGGTACCCACAATCCCATTCTGTACGCTGAAGCCCAGCTGGTATCTGAGGTCTGGTCTGCGGATCAGAACCATGGTGACGGGGGGACACCTGACGATGTTCAACTTGATCCTGCACTGGGCCTTCAGACCCTGGAGAGGAGAGATGGACATTTAGGGGAGGATTGTAACAGGAGGTAACATCCAAGACCAGAGGGAAAGAAATGCAGATGCTTGCAGCACTGCCTGGTCAAGCAGTCTCAATTGTTTTCAATGTGTGCTGGCTTGCAGAGGGGCAGACTAGATTAAGGTTGACAACCATGTGTATCTGCATTTTCAGCAGAAATGCACAGTTGGGCTGCAGTGACACAGAAAAGGAGAGGATACCGCGGAAAGAGACTTCAGGAAAGGTAAAAGAACACAGAAAGAGAAACTAAAAAGATAGACCTTAATGATACTCTGGCAGGTGGAGAGGGGCAGTCCAACCAGACTGGTTCCATTGATGGTCATGATTTGGTCACCAATGTTGAGTCGACCAGACTTCTCCGCTGGCCCAGAATGCATCATGCTAGCAATGATGACAGTGGGCAGGATAGAGCCCCAGCCTGACTCCACTATGACCACCCCCAGCATCTCTCCCTTCTGCTTCTCGATGTAAACCTGAGGTAGGATACACAGAACACTAAGATATACCACTACTTACACCACTATGGTCAATGCAACTGTGTTCACTTGAATGCCTTCATAGTTGTAGTTAGCATTCTGACTGCAATAAGGACACAATTTGTCAATTTGTTACATTAACAAGAAAGGTTGTGTATTATAGGTCTACCTCGTACTGAATTAGATGTGATAGACATATCCACCATTGGTCTAAAATCCCATATCAAACAACTAAGCACACAACACTGGCCTGCCCCCTGGTGGTTGACTCACATCTCTGCAGTTCTCTGACTTGGAGAAGTGGATGAGGTCGTCGTTGTACATGTCCTGAGTGTTGAGCAGGTCGCTGTACTCCCTCTGACTCAGGTCCTCTGGGTCGATGCCATTGGCCCGCAGGAACTCCTGGTACGCCACACTGAATGCCTGGCCAATGGACTGGGCTATGAGCTGGGCCTGGACAGAGAGAAAGAGAGGCATCATACACACTGGATGAATACGAAAACATGCACATATTATCACATTGTAATATGTAATACAATTCCTACATCCACACACTTGTGTCTGAGTCAAACAGATCATTTGTAAACACACACATACACTCAAGCACAACACACACACACACGCACACGCACACACGCACTTACATCCTCTGACTCAAACACGTGGCAGACCATCCTGTACTGGGGGCGGTCGTCGCGGGCAGGGCTGTTGGTGTGGTCAGAGTGGTCAGTGGTATGGTTCAAGTTTTCCTGAGCACTCCTGGAGCGTACCATCTTCCCCCTGGCCATCAGCACCACCATGTTGCCTATGTCAGCGATGTATGAGATGGTCCTCAGAGGCAGGTCCATCATGGACTCCTGCTAGGAACACAGGATAAGGATGTAGTTATGTGGCTGTAGAGCGAAAGAGAGGTGTTTGGCAGTATAGTATGTGGGTGTAGTTTAGGTGTGTGTGGTAGCAGTGACTACTGGTGAGAGGTGCGTTTGATAACTTGTAATGTTGGAATTACTAATACAATAGATTGTTTGGTGCCTGCAACATAGTGGTGAATAGTATACAGTATTTACCTGAGTGTCTGTGTTCAGCACTTTGATCCTCTGTGTAGACATGAAGAGATCCACTTCAGTGGAGGAAGGAACCTCATCCTCAGTCTGCACATTTAGGGACATAGGAGAGCAGCATTTCAACAACTTAAGACTTTATTCACAACCATAACAGACAAGCAGAAAATATGACTTACTTATAATAATAAAAAGACACAGAACAAACAGTAGAAAAATATGTTACAGCCGTAACACTGTCACTATACCTTCTTTCTGTTTTTAGCTTGCTTTTGGGCAGTCTGCCGTATGGAATAGCAAAAGCAATAGAGACAGAGAGATAGAGAGAACAAGAGAGAGCGTTCAAGACAACGCTCAGTAAAAAACAGTAAAAAAACAGTGTGTGATGTTAGCTGTCTATCACATCTGACAAAAGTTACTGGTCCAGAATTTATAAAGCAAACATCCTCAGAAGTTGCCCCTTTATCAATGTGATATGAGCACCCCTCAAGAAACAAACAGACTGAACGTGTTAACAACATACACTAACTGACAGATGCCCCGTGCATTCTTCAATGCTTGTTTATGGACATGAAATACTGTTACTTGGCAGATCTATCAATAACTGTTCAGTAAAAATGTAATGCACATAATGATATGACTAAGGACATGATAACGATTATCTATCAAAAATCTTACTGCCTTAATAGTGGTCCCTTAAAAGATGGAATAATGAAGGAAGGAGAAAGGAAAATGAGGGGAGAGAATTCGGTCCTAGTTGATATTGACCCCTATGTGTGACTCTCACCCTGACACGGCTCATAGCCTCCTGGGCCTGCTGCATGCGGGCACTCTTAGTGGGCGTCCTCTCTGACAGCAGGTGGGTGGAGCCCAGGTAGCTGGCTGCAAAGATGATGCCATCGATCAGGTCCTCTGGGTCACATGGCCCTGGGACTATAGACAAGACGGTCATTGAGGCTGGGTACAATCAATAGTCATCATAAATTACAATGTTTGTACATTAGATTTCAGTGAAAACATACCACTGCTCCTGACTTGTTCCATAATGTAATTGGAATGCCTTTATACCACAGCAGCTTTATCTCCAAGAATACACTCCTTCTCCTTTCTCACTAATAATCCTCCAACTGAGACACTCACCTTCCACGTATGTGGGGAAGGAGGGCATACTCCTCCGGATCTGAAATGGAAATAGACCGGAATATTACGGATATACATCAGTAATGGTGATGATGACAGTAATAGCAGAATAGCACTTCCTTAAACCTCAGTCATCTCTTTTCATAGTAGTGCGTGTGAAACGCAGATTAGCGTTTTTCGTCTTGAATCTGCTAACCCTAATGTCTAACCTTAAAGGGATACTTCGGGAGTTTGGCCTTTTATCTACTTTCCCATTGTCAGATGAACTTGTGGATACCATTTTTATGTCTCTGTGTCCAGTATGAAGGAAGTTAGAGGCAGTTTCTCAAGCCAATGCTAACTAGCAATAGCGCGATGACTGGAAGTTTATGGGTATCTGCGAGCATGCATAGACTTCCAGTCATTGCGCTAACGCTAGTTAGCAACTTCCTTCAAACTGCACCCAGGCATATAAAAATGGTATCCACAAGTTCATCTGACTCTGGGGAAGTAGATAAAGGGCCTCATTGCCAACTTCCCAAAGAGCAATTTTTTGTTTACATGACTTTTTACAATATAGCCAATTTTGACTTTGCAGCTGGCCTAAGGGGAAATCGTCAACCGCGTGTGAAACAGTTTACAGCAGTCACTTACCTCCTCAATGGATGGCGGCCTCGGCGGTTCCCTCTGCTCTCTATGCTCCCTGTGCTGTACCTGGTGTGTTCTGGAGGACTCTGCCCTCACAGGCTCTGGGACTGGCACCGGAACTCGGGCTGGGGCTGGAACTCGGGCTGGGGCTGGAACTCGGGCTGGGGATGGGGCTGGAACTCGGGCTGGGGATGGGGCTGGAACTCGGGATGGGGATGGGGCTGGAACTCGGGATGGGGATGGGGCTGGAACTCGGGCTGGGGATGGGGCTGGAACTCGGGCTGGGGATGGGGCTGGAACTCGGGATGGGGATGGGGCTGGAACACGGACTGGAACTGTGTCAGGAACTGGGGTATAGCGTGAAGGTGACTGAGAGAGTTTAAGAGATACATAGAGAGAACATCATTAACTTAAGTTTTCTGGTGGCACATTTAAACAGACCAGAGTAAATAACATTATTGCCACTGAGTTGTTCACTACACTTTTTTTGTTGTAAGATTATATATATTTTTGTAAACAATACAAAACATATACATACAAACGACAACATCACACAAACATCAACTACATCACACCTGCCCAGACCCACATGCTCACACCCCCATAGAGTTGTTCACGATTATCATTGACGCAATGATCACTGACGCAACTCAACTATGTAAACACTTCAAACCAATGATTTCCATTGTAATCCAGAGCTGGCTCATACTCACACTCACGTTGCCTCCCGGTGGCTGCTGTGGGGAATACTCCTCCTCAGTAGGACTGACCTCCTGCCTCATCACCCACACAGGCTCTATGGGCTGGTCAGGAGTGTAGGGCGAGCGCACCGTCTTAGTCTTCACCTCCTCTATGGCCTCTCGGATGTCCCTGATGGCCAGAAAGATGGCATTCCCTGAGCCCCTGACACTGTCCTCTGAGAGGCCTTCCGCTGGAGGTCTGAGCTCCATCCCGGCCTGCTCATCCTGTAACTCGCCTGAACTAAGCTGCCCAGAGCTGGGACACTCTGACTGGGTTTCACCCTGCACATTCCTGGGAGGTGGCCCCAGGCTTTGAGAACGGGGGCTTTCTTTAAGGCTGTCGGCTTCCCCATCAGACGTAGTGTCATCGTAGTGGTGCAGTCTTGAGCCGACTGAGCGACCCTGCCAAGGGGGGTTGGTTTGTGGTAACCCCACATCCCTACCTGGCCAGGAGGCACAGGGCTGTGGATCAGTGGTAGGCTCAGTGTCTGGAGCTCCCTTATAAACATGCTTCCTCTGTCTACAACTATAGGGCTCTGGGTAGGGTTCTGCATATGGCTCATCAGGGTCGGCCTCAGATCTCCTGTGGAGCTCTCTGTCTGGATAATTAATCAATTTCAAGGGTTCAGGGAAAGACTGGGGATAGGATTTTGCGTAGGGTTCTGTGTAGGATTCTGTGATGGATTCTGACTGTGGGTAGGACTCATTATAAAATTCTGCATAGGTCTTAGGATACGAGTCTGTGAAGGTGAAGGATTCGGAATGGGACAGTGGAGAATCAGTGCAGCTCTCATCGTCAGGCATTATGTCCGTGTCGTGGGTGGGGCTTGGGCTAAACTCGTCACTACATTGGTCCGAGAACTCAGACTGAAGTGGAGGGGGCGAGAATAGAGATGGAGAGGTGGGTGGTGATTGGTGAGGAGGTGGGCTCAGGGGCGGAGCCTCCATGCTTAGAGAGGCAGCACTATCAGTGTCAGAACAGTGGCCATTTGTTCCATCTTCCTGGTTGTCCTTTCCCAGATCCCTCTCTTTTTTGTCCTCTTCCCCCAGACTCGTCTCTTTTAGGTCCCCTTCTCCATGGCCCCCCTCCTCCTGGTTCCACTCTAGGTCTGTCTGGATGTCAAATCCACTCTGAGTACTAACAGACTGAGTTATGGATGAACTGCACCCTTCCTCCTCATCCTCCTGAGGCTGGGGAGACTCTATGTTGGTAAGGGGTGGTGGCAGCTCTTGAGGAGGGAGATCAGAGGCAGGGGGACATGGTGTGTGGTGTGTGGGGGTATGAGTACCAGCAGTAAGGTCAGATGCTCCACTGGCCTGTGTGTGGTGGGGTGGAGGGGAGTACGGGGGGTGCTGCTGCTTCATTGCCGCAGGACCAGTCATGTCACTCTGAACAGTCAGAGAAGCGTCAGATGACCATTGATGTGGAAACGGCGGGTCGTGGGTCTCTTGGACGTCTCTCGGCGGCTGTCTCTGTCTGTGAACTCTGACCCTGGGCACCCCCTGGCGGCGGTAGCGGGCCACACCAGGTCGGGGCGGCTGGGTGTGGCGAGAAGGCTCCATGACCACTCCCTCCTCCTGTCTGGACAGGCCCTGCCCTGAGGGGGAACGCCTACGGTGCCGTGGGGGGCCGCGGCCCGAGCCTTGGTGTGGAATAGGAGGGTGATGATGGTGATGGTGATGAAGATAAGGATCCTGCCCGTCCTGACCAAGCATTTGGCAGGGTCTCCAACTTCTCCGGACAGGGACCCCCTCTCCTCTTCCTCCTCCTCCTCCTCCTCCTGCTGCTGTGCCGTTGGGCTGCCTGTATCTGGGAGCAGCTGGAGCTTTCTGCTCCTCCCCCACATAATCACCTAGCCCCTCCCCCTGCTGCTTGTGGCTCATCGCTCTGCTGTAATCTGTTTACGTACAGAACATGGTCCTTCCGTCTCCAAGGAAACACCACTCACAGCACTGCCTGCAGGGTAACAGGAAACTCATGTGAACAGATAGGTCATAGTTCAGGGGTCATGGATGAAACAGCAGGGTCAGGAAGGCTTGTCTACAACCAGGAGACTGTGATTGTGTTTTGAGAGTGAGTGAGTGAGTGAGTGAGTGAGTGAGTGAGTGAGTGAGTGAGTGAGTGAGTGAGTGAGAGAGCACCACTGTGGTTATGAAGTATGTCTATGTATCGCTCTCCCAAAATCCATTTTAATGTCAATTCTATCCTCAATTTTGGTAAAAGGAAAATATTGAGATCTGCCAATACCCCACACATCTACATAGTACAAAGCACACACACACAGAATAGATCCTGACAGATAAGAAGCTGCAGGGCTCCCTGTTCTCCGGGGTAAAACCTACATCCCAGGGATTCATCTGGGTGTGTTTCATCTCAGGCACCACGCCACACCACCACAGCACAGCAGCTGGCATGAGGGATGAGGAGGAGGGACAAAGCCCCGGCACCACCAACCTGAGAGAGAGGAGGCTGGGCTGAATACTGAACTGTATGCTCAGTGTACAGAATATTGATGTCTGAACTCTGGATAAATTGTGCAGTATACTCAGCATCAGTCAGTATACTGACTTCAAAGTATAGTATAGGATTAGTTTTCACAATTTTTCAGGTACAGTATTCTGTAGCTTTAAGAGCTATAGGATTATGTACTGTATGAATTAATGAGAGTAGCTCAAATGCAAATTGGATGGATACAGAAAGCAGAGAATGTACAGATTTAATATAGGCTGGATAGCTGAGTGGCGACTAGGGGCAGAGGTTAATGTAGAACCTCAGGATGAAAAGTCATCTGAGTGCAGGCAAAAACAGACAGAGAGAAGACATATGAGGAGGACAAAGAGTGCAGATTATATGTTAGATTTATGCCCTTTCCCCTGTGCTTGGTGCTGCTGACTGGGCGGGCACCTGGGGGGCAGTGCCCGGGTCACAGATGGTCTGGCTGTGGGCAACATGGGCCAGGCAGCCGGGCCGGCGGAGGGAGCCGTGACCTGTGTACTGCTCCTCCATCTGTCAGGGCTCCAGTGAAAGCCCCAGAGAGGGGATTAACCAAGCCATTAACTCACTGATCTTACGCTAGCCTAACACAAGCACACACACAAGACAAGGCCAATGTTAAAACAGTGTTTACATGTAGCATCAATAGGTCTATTGGTTACATTTTGATGACATGTTTGTTGTTTTAGCAGTACAGGATTAATGCATAAGCAAGGTGGTGTGATGACTGAAAAAAGCTTGTATTCAAGTCCCACGTTTTATGGCCGCAGGGAGGACATTTTTAAAAAGCTGCCTGAATGTGAGGAAATTAAAAGGGTGGGAAAGCAGGTACCTTGTGACAAATACTCTTATTTTCATTGGAAGCAGCCCAATGGTAGGCTATGTTATTCATGCAATACAATTGCAGTGACGACCAGCATTATAAGAGACAAATTAAAATAGAAAACTGTACAGAACAAAAATATAAACACAACATCTAAAGTGTTGGTCCCATGTTTCATGAGCTGAAATAAAATATTCCAGAAATGTTCCATACACACAAAAAGCTTATTTCTCTCAAATGTTGTGTACAAATTTGTTTACATCCCTGTTAGTGAGCATTTATCCTTTGCCAAGATAATCCATCCACCTGACAGGTGTGGCATATCAAGAAGATGATTAAACAGCATGATCATTACACAGGTGCACCTTGTGCTGGGAACAATAAAAGGCCACTCTAAAATGTGCAGTTCTGTCACACAACACAATGCCACAGATGTCTAAAGTTTTGAGGGAGTGTATTTCTGTCTGCCCAGGACCTACACATCCGTCTTCTTCACCTGTGGGATCGTCTGAGGAGGGGGAGGGGTGGTGCTGAGGAGTATTTCTGTCTGTAATAAAGCCCCTTTGTGGGGAAAAATCTTATTCTGATTGGCTGGGCCTGGCTCCCCAGTGGGTGGGCCTATGCCCTCCCAGGCCAACCCATGGCTGCGCCCCTGCCCAGTCATGTGAAATCCATAGATTAGGGCCTAATGCATTTATTTCAATTGACGGATTTCCTTATATGAACTGTAACTCAGTAAAATCTTTGAAATTGTTGCATGTTGCGTTTATATTTTTGTTCAGTATAAGTTATAGGCCTATGTGGAATAACGTGGCTTTTCATCCTCGATATGTCCGGAGTCGGGACAGAACAGTCACAACACTATTCTATAGGATGAGAAAGCGCTCTCCCGATTCTGTCACCCTGTGTCACAGGCCAAAAGGAAAGCAAACTGAGTAGGCGCTCGATCCTGCGATTAAATAAGACATTTTTGTTATTGACAACTAAGCTACGAATGGGCATCATATAAAAATAAAAATAAATAAAAGCATGCACCTGTCTGAATGTCAGACGACGATGAAAGGCTCTACAATGTGACACATCTCTACTTAAATTATCAATTTGACAGCTTCTTTTCATGGTCAAATAATCGGCGCCACTGGTAGGCTACCTTCATCCATCCCATTCCAATCAATTGACTACAGACGGAATGCCGTCGAGATGCCAGTCGCTGTCATGTTAATCGTTGCCCTATCTCCTGGATGATAAATAGCCTCTTACCTGTTCGTCACTAGGAATGGGTTGGTCGCGTAACAATCCGTTTCACCATTTTTGCTGGTCCCTCTGTCCCTTCAGACAATTTGCATGGATTAGGCCTGAGCGGTCAACTCCTCCTGATCGTGACATCAGAGCGGATTACCGATGCACAAAGCGCCTTTAAAAGACTGCTGTGTTTCAACATAATATTGACGGTGCTGCACCGGCCGTATTCAGCCTCTTTGTAGGCAACACTGCTGTGTGCCCTGCACCACTTTTTCGTGAGCGCAATGAGATATCAGAACCCGCCAATTCTCCCCCTTCCCGAAATGCACCTGGGGCTGAGAAACACCTGTGTAGACTAAGCAAACAAAACAAATTATTCAAGGACACTCGCTCACAGCATTTTATCAGAATATACTAGGCTATATATAGGCTGTGGGCCACGTTATCTAGGGAGAACACTATTCCCTAGAACGCACTCGCACCTCAGTCACCGTGACAACATGTGACTGAAGATACTAATGTGAGTAGTAACCATGGTAATGGTATCCAATCTCTGATCATCACCCCTCCCCCAGTAGCGGTGTGTGGGTAAAATCACTTGGGAAGCCAAGCCAGGAAAATGTGCCATATTACAACCTATGTGTTGTGATCATTGCATGTTTGCTCTATAACCTGTTAGTTCATATGCCTTGCCACAGTGATATATAGGCCTAAGGCTGAGAGACAATAAGAAGACACAGTGGCATAATAAATTCAACTACATCTGTGTTTCATCACAAAACTGGAGAGCAACCTGTGTATGGTGAAGTCCACAAAGCATATTGTACAGCTGCGGAAAAAATTAAGAGACCACTGCAAAATTATCAGTTTCTTTGGTTTTACTATTTATAGCTATGTGTTTGGGTAAAAATAACATTTTTGTTTTATTCTATAAACTACTGACAACATTTCTCCCAAATTCCAAATAAAAATATTGTCATTTAGAGCATTTATTAGCAGAAAATGACAACTGGCCAAATAACAAAAAAGATGCAGTGTTGTCAGACCTCGAATAATGCAAAGAAAATAAGTTCATGTTCATTTTTAAACAACACAATAGTAATGTTTTAACTTAGGAAGAGTTCAGAAATCAATATTTGGTGGAATAACCCTGATTTTCAATCACAGCTTTCATGGCGCAAGAATTCAAGCAGCTCGGCTTTGTTTGATGGCTTGTGACCATCCATCTTCCTCTTGATCACATTCCAGAAGTTTTCAATGGGGTTCAGGTCTGGAGATTGGGCTGGCCATGACAGGGTCTTGATCTGGTGGTCCTCCTTGATTGACCTGGCTGTGTGGCATGGCACATTGTCCTGCTGGAAAACCCAATCCTCAGAGTTGGGGAACAATGTCAGAGCAAAAGGAAACAAGTTTTCTTCCAGGACAACCTTGTACGTGGCTTGATTCATGCATCCTTCACAAAGACAAATCTGCCCGATTCAAGCCTTGCTGAAGCACCCCCAGATCATCACAGATCCTTCACCAAATTTCACAGTGGGTGCGAGACACTGTGGCTTGTAGGCCTCTCCAGGTCTCCGTCTAACCATTAGACGACCAGGTGTTGGGCAAAGCTGAAAATTGGACTCATCAGAGAAGATGACCTTACTCCAGTCCTCTACGGTCCAATCCTTATGGTCTTTTGCAAACCTCAGCCTGGCTCTTCTTTGCTTCTCATTGATGAAGGGCTTTTTTCTAGCTTTGCACGACTTCAGCCCTGCCCCTAGGAGCCTGTTTCGAACCGTCCTCGCCATGCACTTCACCCCAGCTGCAGTTTGCCATTCTTTTTGTAGGTCACTTGATGTCATTCTACGGTTGTTGAGTGACATTCAAATGAGTTGGCGGTCATCCCGGTCAGTAGGGAGTCGTTTTCGCCCTCTGCCGGTCTGTAGCTTTGTTGTCCCCAATGTCTGCTGCTTGACTTTGTTCTTATGAACCGCCGTCTTTGACATTTTAAGGATGGAAGCAACCTGACGCTCACTGTATCCCTCTGCCAGTAAAGCCAGAATTGAACCCTTCTTTTCCTCACTCAAAACTTTTGACATGGTCAATAGTTATTTTTTTATTAATATTACTTTTGAGGTACTATTAGCACTGTTTTTGCCATCCAGCTGGTCCTATTGCAAGAGGATAGTGATGACCACAGCAGTGGTTTTTATACTTTTCCTCGTTAAATAAGATTTGGTTCATGTGATCACCTAATCAGTACCTAATTCAGTAGAGTGAGGTGTGCCTGTGTTGGAATTCAACAGAGACTGGAATGGAATGGCTGTCATACATGTAGAGATGATGATTTAAGAAAACATGTTGACTCAAGGTACTTGTAGAGAAACGCCAATGCCATCCTCCTCTCTTTCATGTTGCCTAAACGGTCTATGACTGCCATACAGTACACACTTTTAGTTTTTGTTGTCCTAGGCTACCTGGCTAAAATGCATGCTCGCTAGCCTAACTTCCTTTCATTGGCAACGACGAGCCAGCTAGTTAACATTAGCCTACTACTAGCTACAGTGGGGGAAAAAAGTATTTAGTCAGCCACCAATTGTTCAAGTTCTCCCACTTAAAAAGATGAGAGAGGCCTGTAATTTTCATCATAGGTACACGTCAACTATGACAGACAAAATGAGAAAAGAAAATCCAGAAAATCACATTGTAGGATTTTTTATGAATTTATTTGCAAATTATGGTGGAAAATAAGTATTTGGTGAATAACAAAAGTTTCTCAATACTTTGTTATATACCCTTTGTTGGCAATGACACAGGTCAAACGTTTTCTGTAAGTCTTCACAAGGTTTTCACACACTGTTGCAGTGATGTTTTGGGGCTGTCGCTTTGCAACACGGACTTTACCTCCCTCCAAAGATTTTCTATGGGATTGAGATCTGGAGACTGGCTAGGCCACTCCAGGACCTTGAAATACTTCTTACGAAGCCACTCCTTCGTTGCCCGGGCGGTGTGTTTGGGATCATTGTCATGCTGAAAGACCCAGCCACGTTTCATCTTCAATGCCCTTGCTGATGGAAGGAGGTTTTCACTCAAAATCTCACGATACATGGCCCCATTCATTCTTTCCTTTACACGGATCAGTCGTCCTGGTCCCTTTGCAGAAAAACAGCCCCAAAGCATGATGTTTCCACCCCCATGCTTCACAGTAGGTATGGTGTTCTTTGGATGCAACTCAGCATTCTTTGTCCTCCAAACACGACAAGTTGAGTTTTTACCAAAAAGTTATATTTTGGTTTCATCTGACCATATGACATTCTCCCAATCCTCTTCTGGATCATCCAAATGCACTCTAGCAAACTTCAGACAGGCCTGGACATGTACTGGCTTAAGCAGGGGGACACGTCTGGCACTGCAGGATTTGAGTCCCTGGCAGCGTAGTGTGTTACTGATGGTAGGCTTTGTTACTTTGGTCCCAGCTCTCTGCAGGTCATTCACTAGGTCCCCCCGTGTGGTTCTGGGATTTTTGCTCATCGTTCTTGTGATCATTTTGACCCCACGGGGTGAGATCTTGCGTGGAGCCCCTGATCGAGGGAGATTATCAGTGGTCTTGTATGTCTTCCATTTCCTAATAATTGCTCCCACAGTTTATATCTTCAAACCAAGCTGCTTACCTATTGCAGATTCAGTCTTCCCAGCCTGGTGCAGGTCTACCATTTTGTTTCTGGTGTCCTTTGACAGCTCTTTGGTCTTGGCCATAGTGGAGTTTGGAGTGTGACTGTTTGAGGTTGTGGACAGGTGTCTTTTATACTGATAACAAGTTCAAACAGGTGTCATTAATACAGGTAACGAGTGGAGGACAGAGGAGCCTCTTACAGAAGAAGTTACTGGTCTGTGAGAGCCAGAAATCTTGCTTGTTTGTAGGTGACCAAATACTTATTTTCCACCATAATTTGCAAATAAATTCATTAAAAATCCTACAATGTGATTTTCTGGATATTTTTTTCTCAATTTGTCCGTCATAGTTGACGTGTACCTATGATGAACATTACAGGCCTCTCTCATCTTTTTAAGTGGGAGAACTTGCACAATTGGTGGCTGACTAAATACTTTTTTTCCCCACTGTACATATTGAACTTCCATCCTCTCAGGCAAGGGGCACAATTTATGAATTTATGGTTGGATCAGAATCGCAGTTATAATCATTGGCCAGTACTGAGAATTAAGTAAAACCACAAGTCCAAATCCCTATCTCCACCCATGACTAATTTAGGAAAGTGCCAATTGTAGCTACCTAGCTATCCACTGGAGGACAACAACGCAATGAGATGCAACAATATTTTTTTTCTGTAAATGGAGTTAGGCTTTTGATGTGATGTGATTGGTGTGAAGCCAAATCCAAACTGGTTTCCCTTGACACTTTTTTTTTGGTGTGCCAGGACCATTGAAATTTGAGCTCACTCATTTTAGCTGAATGCTGATTGGTTATTATATTTGTTGTAAAACAAATTCAAGGGAGGCCAAATGCTCGCTGGCTTCCCTTGCATTCAATGCTATGGCGGCAACAATATCATACTCTTTTTGACCAGACAGCATCAGAAGACCCTCGATATTTATTGGAAAGGAGCATCAAACTCATCATCTTGCATATTCACCACCCTGTGAAGTTCATCATAACTTATTTCATCTGTAGCCAAATAAATTGTATTGTTTCCCGAGTCATAGTGGGAGGACCACACAACATATCATTGCGTGACTCCAAGTTTACTTCGATATGATGGTTATTATATCAATATTTGCGCATAAAGGCATTTCCACCGCCATTTCTCGCATAATTAATTTTACCGAAACAAAATGATCCCACCATGTCAAACGAACAAATTGTCTGTCGGCATTTATAAAACAGTACAGGCATTTCATGTTTCCATCAGCCCAGTCATGACTTTTTTCATGTGTCAGGTAATTCATCTGCATGAATGGTTAGATGGAAACGTGGTTACTGAGAGACGAAATATACATTCTTTTATTATTAGCCTACCATACCCTTCGTATTGCTGTCACCTTTGATTTCATGCTCCCATTCACACATTTGCTGTTCTATTTTAAGACTGGGCATCAATAATTTATGTTCCTCTCTTTGCATTCATTGATGAAGGTACTGTATGTATTATGTTTTACGTTACATGACTGGCTAAGAGCATGCTTAAAACCCATCTCTGAAAATATCATTCATAAATGTTTGATCAGGCCCATTACGGTGTTGTCACGCAAAACCCATGGCCCACATGCAATGCCTCCAAAATTGTTCAAACAGTAGGCTTGTTCCAGGCTTAAACTACACTGAAGAAAGCAAGGGATGGATGGTGTAGTATTGCCTGGGCTGGGCTGCAGGTGGCACTGTCCAATAGCTGAACTGTTCTTAATCTTCTGATATGAGCTGACCAACCACACGGTATCAATCTCCTGTGTTTATAGAATATATACTGCAAGGCTTAAACCATTCCCATAACAATCCACTCCCATAAGCAATGTGTGACATTTGAATATATATTCAAAGTTAATGTCCTATCTCTTGCATTATTACGTTAATAATAATATTATTACTCAGATTATCTTTGGTGCAGTTCAAAAACAGGTTCATACAAACTCCACACATTGGTAACTTCTGGTTGAGAGCCAAATGATTTTGGGATTCTGTCCTTGATGATTGTTCTAAAAGGGGGGAGAGGGGGGACTAGCTATTATCCATCTAGGCCCCTGATGAGGCCCTCTGGGCTTGGCTGACCCCGGGGATAGGTGGGGCCCAGAAGGACCAGTCCTCGCCTGTGGGATCGTCTGAGGAGGGGGAGGGGTGGTGCTGAGGATTATTTCTGTCTGTAATAAAGCCCTTTTGAGGGGAAAATCTCATTCTGATTGGCTGGGCCTGGCTCCCCAGTGGGTGGGCCTGGCTCCCAAGTGGGTGGGCCTATGCTCTCCCAGGCCCACCCATGGCTGCGCCCTTCCCAGTCATGTGAAATCCATAGATTAGGGCCTAATGAATTTATTTCAATTGATTGATTTCCTTCTATGAACAGTAACTCAGTAAAATCTTTGAAAGTGTTGCATGTTGAGTTTATATTTTTGTTCAGTATAAATACAAAAGCAGTAACCTCAAAGGCTACTTCCCACAATGTAAATAAAGACAAAATCTCAGGGAATCTGAGGTGAGGGGAGTGTGAGAGAGTTCTGGAGCTCTGTAATATTCTGAGTCTGGTTCAGATTATTACCAGAGTCCTCCCTCCCTCCCTCTCTCCTCCTCACAGCACTGCTGTTTAGACAGAGTCTTCTCATCTGAGACTCTACAGTGTGCTGGCAGTTTGTGAGCTGGAGAGATTGATATTGACTGACAGACACAGACACACAGGACCAGACAGAGAAATACTGACAGTGTGGACCTCGGGCTGGCTTAGATTTTGGTTGGGACACACAATTGCTCCTACATTAGTTTGAAGGTATTTCAGCTTCTCCTGGTTTTTGATTTTTTTCCATTTAAGACTGCAATGCTTCCATTCTAACTCTTCACCCTGTTTGGTGAGTATAGAAAACAAATTTGCAGTGAATATGTGCATGTTTTTATACGTGCAGCGGTGCTTGTTTTAGTGTCTGTGTATGACTCATCCGTCTTATCTCTTCTCCCAGCCACAGTCCAAGCCCAGATCCAGCCCTTGTCAGGCTCCTGTATCTTTGAGTCCAGCACACGTCAGACTCAAACTTTTCGAGCTGGACGCTCAACAAAGATGGTAGGAGACTTTGAAAAAGTTTGAAGACTACCCCCTTTAATAACACTGACAAGTGCCTATAATACAGTAGCTTCCCACTGGGCACAGACATCAATTCAACGTCTATTCCACGTCGGTTCAACGTGGAAAACATAAGAAGACTGTCTTCTCTTCTATACAGTAGAGATGACAGGGGCTTATTACAAGGATTTAACGTTTCTAGTAGTGCCTGTAGTAGTGTCTGTAGTAGTGTCTGTAGTAGAGTCTGTAGTAGTGTCTGTAGAACTGTCTGTAGTAGTGTCTGTAGGAGTGTCTGTAGTAGAGTCTGTAGTACTGTCTGTAGAACTGTCTGTAGAACTGTCTGTAGTAGTGTCTGTAGGAGTGTCTGTAGTAGAGTCTGTAGTACTGTCTGTGGAACTGTCTGTAGAACTGTCTGTAGAACTGTCTGTAGTAGTGTCTGTAGTAGTGTCTGTGGTAGTGTCTGTAGTAGAGTCTGTAGTAGTGCCTGTAGTAGTGTCTGTAGTAGAGTCTGTAGTAGTGCCTGTAGTAGTGTCTGTAGTAGAGTCTGTAGTACTGTCTGTAGTAGTGTCTGTAGTAGATTCTGTAGTAGTGCCTGTAGTAGTGTCTGTAGTAGTGTCTGTAGTAGAGTCTGTAGTAGTGCATGTAGTAGTGTCTGTTGTACTGTCTGTAGAACTGTCTGTAGTAGTGTATGTAGTAGTGTCTGTAGTATTGTCTGTAGTAGAGTCTGTAGTACTGTCTGTAGAACTGTCTGTAGTAGTGTATGTAGTAGTGCATGTAGTAGTGTCTGTAGTAGAGTCTGTAGTAGTGTATGTAGTAGTGCCTGTAGTAGAGTCTGTAGTGGTGCCTGTAGTAGTGTATGTAGTAGAGTCTGTAGTAGTGTCTGTAGTAGTGTCTGTAGTAGAGTCTGTAGTAGTGTCTGTAGTAGTGTCTGTAGAACTGTCTGTAGTAGTGTCTGTAGTAGTGTCTGTAGTAGAGTCTGTAGGCGGACTACATTGCAGACACATGCCAGATCTCAGAACGCCTGGATTGGTGTTTAACATATCGGTTAACCAAATTATATGATATAGCAATCTGATGCCTGACTGTTCAGTCAATGACGTGGGCACAGAACCATTGGCTGATGCAATGCAACGTCTGCAATGTAGTTGGCCAGGAACACGACCATAATCATTCGGTAAGAGGTTAACGTGTATATTTAAATAGATTCAAATGAGCCAGGCAAAGCACTTATTGGGCAAATCAAAGATGCCATTTTCTCCCTATACTGCTCATTTGAATAATTATTTACCCCAGGCTCACTAAGGCATAAAGTCCTGTGTAATTAACGTGCTACGCCAATCAGGAACTCTTAACCAGCTCTGTATTTACTGTTTAGTTCTTATGGAGGTATAGAAAAGGATTGCATGTCCAACTAACCAATCTCACTGGTCATTTACTTTAGTGGCTTGATGTTAAACCTCATGATACTAACTGTAAGTTGCTCTGGATAAGAGCGTCTGCTAAATGACTCAAATGTAAATGTAAATGTAGTAGAGTCTGTAGTAGTGTATGTAGTAGAGTATGTAGTAGAGTCTGTAGTAAAGTCTGTAGTAGAGTCTGTAGTAGTGTCTGTAGTAGAGTCTGTAGTAGAGTCTGTAGTAAAGTCTGTAGTAGTGTCTGTAGTAGTGTATGTAGTAGTGTATGTAGTAGTGTTTGTAGTATTGTCTGTAGTAGAGTCTGTAGAAGTGTCTGTAGTAGAGTCTGTAATAGTGTATGTAGTAGTGTTTGTAGTATTGTCTGTAGTAGAGACTGTAGTAGTGTCTGTAGTAGTGTATGTAGTAGTGTCTGTAGTAGTGTCTGTAGTAGAGTCTGTAGTAGTGTCTGTAGTAGAGTCTGTAGTAGTGTATGTAGTAGTGTTTGTAGTATTGTCTGTAGTAGAGTCTGTAGTAGTGCCTGTAGTAGTGTCTGTAGTAGTCTGTAGTAGTGTCTGTAGTAGAGTCTGTAGAACTGTCTGTAGAACTGTCTGTAGTAGTGTCTGTAGTAGTGTCTGTAGTAGAGTCTGTAGTACTGTCTGTAGAACTGTCTGTAGTAGTGTCTGTAGTAGAGTCTGTAGTAGTGTATGTAGTAGTGTCTGTAGTAGAGTCTGTAGTTGTGTCTGTAGTATAGTGTGTAGTAGAGTCTGTAGTAGAGTCTGTAGTAGTGTCTGTAGTAGAGTCTGTAGTACTGTATGTAGTAGTGTATGTAGTAGTGTCTGTAGTAGAGTATGTAGTAGTGTATGTAGTAATGTTTGTAGTAGTGTCTGTAGTAGAGTCTGTAGTAGTGTCTGTAGTAGTGTCTGTAGTAGTCTGTAGTAGTGTCTGTAGTCGTGTCTATAGTAGAGTCTGTAGTAGTGTCTGTAGTAGTGTCTGTAGTAGTGTATGTAGTAGAGTCTGTAGTAGAGTCTGTAGTAAAGTCTGTAGTAGTGTCTGTAGTAGTGTATGTAGTAGTGTATGTAGTAGTGTTTGTAGTATTGTCTGTAGTAGAGTCTGTAGAAGTGTCTGTAGTAGAGTCTGTAATAGTGTATGTAGTAGTGTTTGTAGTATTGTCTGTAGTAGAGTCTGTAGTAGTGTCTGTAGTAGTGTATGTGGTAGTGTCTGTAGTAGTGTCTGTAGTAGAGTATGTAGTAGTGTCTGTAGTAGAGTCTGTAGTAGTGTATGTAGTAGTGTTTGTAGTATTGTCTGTAGTAGAGTCTGTAGTAGTGCCTGTAGTAGTGTCTGTAGTAGTCTGTAGTAGTGTCTGTAGTAGTGTCTGTAGTAGAGTCTGTAGAACTGTCTGTAGAACTGTCTGTAGTAGTGTCTGTAGTAGTGTCTGTAGTAGAGTCTGTAGTACTGTCTGTAGAACTGTCTGTAGTAGTGTCTGTAGTAGAGTCTGTAGTAGTGTCTGTAGTAGTGTCTGTAGTAGAGTCTGTAGTTGTGTCTGTAGTAGAGTCTGTAGTAGAGTCTGTAGTAGAGTCTGTAGTAGTGTCTGTAGTAGAGTCTGTAGTAGTGTATGTAGTAGTGTCTGTAGTAGAGTCTGTAGTAGTGTATGTAGTAATGTTTGTAGTAGTGTCTGTAGTAGAGTCTGTAGTAGTGTCTGTAGTAGTGTCTGTAGTAGTCTGTAGTAGTGTCTGTAGTCGTGTCTATAGTAGAGTCTGTAGTAGTGTCTGTAGTAGTGTCTGTAGTAGTGTATGTAGTAGAGTCTGTAGTAGTGTCTGTAGTAGAGTCTGTAGTAGAGTCTGTAGTAAAGTCTGTAGTAGTGTCTGTAGTAGTGTATGTAGTAGTGTATGTAGTAGTGTTTGTGGTATTGTCTGTAGTAGAGTCTGTAGAAGTGTCTGTAGTAGAGTCTGTAATAGTGTATGTAGTAGTGTTTGTAGTATTGTCTGTAGTAGAGTCTGTAGTAGTGTCTGTAGTAGTGTATGTAGTAGTGTCTGTAGTAGTGTCTGTAGTAGAGTCTGTAGTAGTGTCTGTAGTAGTGTATGTAGTAGTGTTTGTAGTATTGTCTGTAGTAGAGTCTGTAGTAGTGCCTGTAGTAGTGTCTGTAGTAGTGTCTGTAGTAGTGTCTGTAGTAGTGTCTGTAGTAGAGTCTGTAGAACTGTCTGTAGAACTGTCTGTAGTAGTGTCTGTAGTAGTGTCTGTAGTAGAGTCTGTAGTACTGTCTGTATAACTGTCTGTAGTAGTGTCTGTAGTAGAGTCTGTAGTAGTGTCTGTAGTAGTGTCTGTAGTAGAGTCTGTAGTTGTGTCTGTAGTAGAGTCTGTAGTAGAGTCTGTAGTAGAGTCTGTAGTAGTGTCTGTAGTAGTGTCTGTAGTAGAGTCTGTAGTAGAGTCTGTAGTAGTGTCTGTAGTAGTGTATGTAGTATAGTCTGTAGTAGTGTCTGTAGTATAGTCTGTAGAAGTGTTTGTAGTAGAGTCTGTAGTAGTGTCTGTAGTAGAGTCTGTAGTAGTGCCTGTAGTAGTGTCTGTAGTAGTGTCTGTAGTAGAGTGTAGTAGTGCCTGTAGTAGTGTCTGTAGTAGTGTCTGTAGTAGAGTCTGTAGTAGTGTCTGTAGTAGTGTCTGTAGTAGAGTCTGTAGTAGTGTCTGTAGTAGTGTCTGTAGTAGTGTATGTAGTAGAGTCTGTAGTAGTGTCTGTAGTAGTGCCTGTAGTAGTGTCTGTAGTAGAGTCTGTAGTAGTGTCTGTAGTAGTGCCTGTAGTAGTGCCTGTAGTAGTGTCTGTAGTAGAGTCTGTAGTAGTGTCTGTAGTAGTGTCTGTAGTAGTCTGTAGTAGTGTCTGTAGTAGTGTCTGTAGTAGTGTATGTAGTAGAGTCTGTAGTAGTGTCTGTAGTAGAGTCTGTAGTAGAGTCTGTAGTAGTGTCGGTAGTAGTGTCTGTAGTAGGCCTAGTTGTACTAGTTGTTGTACTCGTTGATGTGGTTTATGCAGTTGTTGCTCTGATTGAGAGAAAGGGGAGAGAGAGAGAGACATCTGGACTGCGTTTCCAGCACACATCTGGAGACATTGAAATAACAGATTTAGGCATTCACAGTTCTCAGATTTGGTTCTTAGTAGTACTATTATATCCCAGAATGATCAAAGGACACATAAGAATGCAGATTAGATTTGTATGACAACTACAGTACCAGTCATAAGTTTGGACACACCTACTCATTCAAGGGTTTCTCTTTATTTTTACAATTTTCTAAGTTGTAGAAGAATAGTGAAGACATCAAAACTATGAAATAACACATATGGAATCATGTAGTAACCAAAAATGTTTTAAACAAATCAAAATATATTTGATATTTGAGATTCTTCAAATAGCCACCCTTTGCCTTGATGACAGCTTTGCACCCTCTTGGCATTCTCTCAACCAGCTTCACCTGGAATGCTTTTCCAACAGTCTTGAAGGAGTTCCCACATATGCTGAGCACTTGTTGGCTGCTTTTCCTTCACTCTGCCGTCCGACTCATCCCAAACCATCTCAATTGGGTTAAGGTTGGGGGATTGTGGAGGCCAGGTCATCTGATGCAGCACTCCATCGCTCTCCTTCTTGGTAAAATAGCCCTTACACAGCCTGGAGGTGAGTTGGGTCATTGTCCTGTTGAAAAACAAATGATAGTCCCACTAAGACCAAACCAGATGGGATGGCGTATCGCTGAAGAATACAGTGGTAGCCATGCTGGTTAAGTGTGCCTTGAATTCTAAATAAATCACAGACAGTGTTACCAGCAAAGCACCCCCACACCATAACACCTCCTCCTCCATGCTTTACGGTGGGAAATACACATGCGGAGATCATCCGTTCACCCACACCGCATCTCACAAAGCCACGGCGGTTGGATCCAAAAATCTCCAATTTAGACTCCAGACCAAAGGACACATTTCCACTGGTCTAATGTCCATTGCTCATATTTCTTGGCCCAAGCAAGTCTCTTCTTATTATTAGTGTCCTTTAGTAGTGGTTTCTTTGCAGCGATTCGACCATGAAGGCCTGATTCACACAGTCCCCTCTGAACAGTTGATGTTGAGATGTGTTTGTGACTTGAACTCTGTGAAGCATTTATTTGGGCTGCAATTTCTGAGGCTGGTAACTCTAATGAACTTATCCTCTGCAGCAGAGGTAACTCTGCGTCTTCCATTCCTGTGGTGGTCCTCATGAGAGCTAGTTTCATCATAGCGCTTGATGGTTTTTGCAACTGCACTTGAAGAAACTTGAAAAGTTCTTGAAATGTTCCGTATTGACTGACCTTCATGTCTTAAAGTAATGATGGACTGTCGTTTCTCTTTGCTTATTTGAGCTGTTCTTGCTATAATATGGACTTAGTATTTTACCAAATAGGGTTATCTTCTGTATACCCCCCCTACCTTGTCACAACACAAGGAAAGAAATTCCACATATTAACTTTTAAGAAGGCACACCTGTTAATTGAAATGAATTCCAGGTGACTACCTCATGAAGCTGGTTGAGAGAAGGCCAATAGTGTGCAAAGCTGTCATCAAGGCAAAGGGTGGCTATTTGAAGAATCTCAAATATCAAATATATATTTTGATTTGTTGAAGACTTTTATGGTTACTACATGATTCCATATGTGTTATTTATAGTTTTGATGTCTTCACTATTATTCTACAATCAAAAAAATAGTAAAAATAAAGAAAAACCCTTGAATTAGTAGGTGTGTCCAAACTTTTGACTGGTAGTGTATGTAATCATCATTGGTCTGTAATCATTCTGTTTGCCTCAAGACAGGGACATGTAAACTGTAGTTTGCTGAGAAAGCAGAATGTGTCTCTTCCTGTTTTTGTCTATTACTTGTGTCCTGTTGTGGCGGACTGTCTACCCTCCTTCCTCTTTATCATCTGGTTCCTCTCTTCCTTTTATCATCCATCCTTCCCTGCCACTGTCACCCTAGGCATCCTTTGAAAAAAAAGCTTAATGACAATGGATTAAGTAGGTCCTGTTATACTCTCTTCCTCTTTTCAAAGAACCTCTATTCAAACTGTTTCTCTGTTCTCAGGGTCTTTCATCTCAGTGGACCCAGGCCTAAAGGACCAGGATGGTCAGGAGAAGAGGCCAGAGGGAGAGGAGAGCCCCGAGGGGGAGGGCAGGGCAGTTCTGCTGGGCCCAGCCATGGAGCAGGAGGACTGGAGCTGTCTGAGGCTGGTGTACCAACTTTCCGGGTCTGGTTTCTGCAGGTCCAGCAGTGCAGGGAGGGCGAGAGCTTCAACCGGGCCCTGTGGAGCACCCAGACTGCCTCAGACAGCTGGCTCATCTCCAGCATTGACCTCCAGAACAGCACAGAGCCGTACAGGGTAAACAACACACCCTCAGGAACATGGGAGGCACATACACACTGTTAAAACATATGGGCTAATATAAATACTGCCATACTTAGGTGGAGGAATGGGGCCTGGAAAATATTCTAAAGAGCCCCCCAAAAGATAAACATTGATTAGTCCAAACATGAAATGACATGCATGTATTGTATCTGCTGTTCAATCTCTGGTCTGGTCTGATAACTGCTGCTATGTATTGCATGTAACCTCTTAAAGGTGCTTCCTGCTGCACTCAACCTGACTGGTTTGATAGAAATAAGGGAGCATGAAGGAAACATGCAGTGCACTGCACACAGGCAGTCAGGCACGCACATTACAGGAACTAACCATGCACTTGACCTTGAACCTGCCTGGGGGGACCTGCCTTAGCTATGACTCACTTGGGAGCTGGGAACTGTACCATTAGCCTACGGTGGTATATACAATATGTCGTACATTCACAGCCAACATAATGGTGCACAGACATACTGTACAATAGTTCCATATCCCCTCCTCATTCATTAACGATTGAAGGCTATTGCTGAACATCTATTTCCCATCAGATTGCCATTGACGGCAGACCTGGTGAGAGCACAGGCAGCAGTGTGGCCATCTTTGAGATACGCATCAAACCTGGATACTGCTTAGGTCAGTGAGTCCCACACATATCATATACCCTTGAGATTTGTAAGAATTTGAAAGTGACTGACATCATGTACAAACACACACAGGTACGCATGAATGCACACAAACACGTGAGCGCGATGACAACATAATGACTCATTCTGTATCACTTTTCATCGAACAAAACATGTTCATTATGTGACAATAACCTTACAATGGCCACATTTATATTGTATCTAGTGTATATGAAATGTCAATTATATACAATACCAGTCAAAGGTTTGGACACACCTACTCATTCAAGGGTTTTTCTTTATTTTTACTATTTTCTACATTGTAGAATAATAATGAAGACATCAAAACTATGAAATAACACATATGGAATCATGTAGTATCCAACAAAGTGTTAAACAAATGAAAATAAATTTGAGATTTGAGATTCTTCAAATAGCCACCATTTGCCTTTATGACAGCTTTGCACACTCTTGGCATTTTCTCAACCAGCTTCAACTGGAATGCTTTTCCAACAGTCTTGAAGGAGTTCCTATATATGCTTAGCACTTGTTGCCTGCTTTTCCTTCACTCTGCCGTCCGACTCATCCCAAACCATCTCAATTGGGTTGAGGTTGGGGGATTGTGGAGGCCAGGTCATCTGATGCAGGACTCCATCACTCCCCTTCTTGGTAAAATAGCCCTTACACAGCCTGGAGGTGTGTTGGGTCATTGTCCTGTTAAAAAACAAATGATAGTCCCACTAAGCCCAAACCAGATGGGATGGCGTATCGCTGCAGAATGCTGTGGTAGCCATGCTGGTTAAGTGTGCCTTGAATTCTAAATAAATCACAGACAGTGTCACCAGCAAAGCACCCCCACACCATAACACCTCCTCCTCCATACTTTACGGTGGGAAATACACATGCAGAGATCATCCGTTCACCCACACCGCGTCTCACAAAGCCACGGCGGATGGAACCAAAAATCTCCAATTTGGACTCCAGACCAAAGGACAGATTTCCACCGGTCTAATGTCCATTGCTCGTGTTCCTTGGCCCAAGCAGGTCTTTCTTCTTATTGGTGTCCTTTAGTAGTGTTTCTTGAACTCTGTGAAGCATTTATTTGGGCTGCAATTTCTGAGGGTGGTAATTCTAATGAACTTATCCTCTGCAGCAGAGGTAACTCTGGGTCTTCCATTCCTGTGGCGGTCCTTATGAGAGCTATTTTCATCATAGCGCTTGATGGTTTTTGCGACTACACTTGAAGAAACGTTCAAAGTTCTTGAACTTTTCCATATTGACTGACCTTCATGTCTAAAAGTGACGATGGACTATTGTTTCTCTTTGCTTTTTTGAGCTGTTCTTGCCATAATATGGACTTGTTCCAAGCACACCAAGACAGTCGTGAAGAGGGCACGACAAAACCTATTCTCCTAAGGAGACCGAAAAGATTTGGCATGGATCCTCAGATCCTCAAAAGGTCCTACAGCTGCACCATCGAGAGCATCCTGACTGGTTGCATCACTGCCTGGTATGGCAACTGCTCGGCTTCCGACCGCAAGGCACTACAGAGGTTAGTGCATTCGGCATTTGATTTGATTTGGTATTTTACCAAATAGGGCTATCTCCTGTATACCCCCCCTACCTTGTCACAACACAACTAATTGGTCAAACGCATTAAGAAGGAGAGAAATTCCACAAATTAACTTTTAAGAAGGCACACCTGTTAATTGAAATGCATTCCAGGTGATTACCTCATGAAGCTGGTTGATAGAATGCCAAGAGTGTGCAAAGATGTCATCAAGGTAAAGGGTGGCTATGTGAAGAATCTCAAATATCAATATATTTTGATTTGTTTAACACTTTTTTGGTTACTACATGATTCCATATGTGTTATTTCATAGTTTTGATGTCTTCACTATTATTATACAATGTAAAAAATAGTAAAACTAAAGAAAAACCCTTGAATGAGTAGGTGTGTCCAAACTTTTGACTGGTACTGTATAATGTCAGTTTTTTCCTCTTTTACCCCTTTCATCATCTGCCTGTTTAACTTGCTCTATTTACTATAATAAATAAATACATGTTTTAATGAATAAATCTCCTGTCTTTTCAAGAAGGTTTTAATGAGAGAGGCCCCTCGGTCCGCTTCCTCACAGTGAGGTGTTGTATTAATGGTTTACTATGCTGTTGTCTCCAGAGTGTGACTATGAGGAGTCCCACCTGTGTGGCTACAGTAACCAGTGGAACACCAATGTCAACTGGTACAGGGGAGGAGGGGCTGCCCGGGACCCTCATAACAACCTACCTGACGACCACACGCAGAGCAACGGAGCAGGTGAAGCCAACTCACACATGTTAATGCTAGTAGATGTATAGCAGATATCGCAGCTCAACACTCAAAAATAAGATACCACTGCTCAACACAGGCGACAAGCAAATGACACAACCAAAACGAACAAGAACCAAAACAACTAACTCAATACAATATTAACATTCAACAGAACAACAGCATTATGTACATTCAGCAGGGGACACTCAACTGGCCTCCTGCTATGTTCACAAAATCTATTTTATTTCATATGGCAGCAGAATGCCAATAAATTGTAGCTTGAGGCAGTACAATGGACAAGGGAAACTAGGAAGATTGGTTTGTATCATCCATAATGGCTTCAAGTTGAAAATGAAAGCTGCCATTGCCTCGCAGGTCACTACATGTATGTGGATTCAGTGTACGCCAAGACATTCCAGGAGGTAGCCAAACTGGTGTCTGCTATGTCAACGGTGCCTATGTCGGGCTGCCTGAGCCTCCAGTACCAGCGGAGTGAGGACCGAGGGAACCTGTTCTCTGTCTACACCAGGGACCAGGCAAGCCAGTACCAGGAGCTGTGGAGAGCAGACCCAGAGGACCAGAACCTCAATAACTGGACTGGTACCACCTCAGAGTAGATACCTGTGCAGGTGGACATCAAGGCCCCGTACCCTATTTAGGTCAGTGGGGTGCAGATGTTTTCACAAGGAGTGCACATTGGATTTACATTCTGATTGAATACTGAGTACAGTGAGCAGCATGTTCACTTCTTCGTATGCGTTGGCCCGATCTGCTGATGAGTGTGATTGTATGTGTACACCTGCTCTCTCCAGGCGGTGTTTGAAGTGACCTTCAACAGCCCCAGAGGGGGTCGCGTGGCACTCGATGATATCGCCTTCTCTCCTGAGTTCTGTAGTGCAGAGACAGGTGGGTCTGTTTGGTCTCTCTCCTCCTGTTTTCATCACACAGTAGATTTACATTTGACTTTACATTAACTCTCATGACTGATATGGATGGAGTTGAAAGGTAAAAGAGGAGAAAAGCATGCTATTAAAGAGTATTGGGATGCAGCCTCCTAATGTGTCCCATGTGTGCTACAGAGCCAACCTTTGATCCCTCCATCGCCAACTGTGACTTTGAGGTGGGTTTCTGCCGCTACACACAGGATCAGATGGAGGGATCCACATGGAAGAGAGTGTCAGTCAAGCCCAACATCTACAGGACTGGGGACCACACAACAGGGGCAGGTGAGAGATTATACAATTTTGATCACCAAGAGATGCTAGAAGCGCAATGAGTGAACGAGAGATTGCTTCTCTAGCTGGTCCTGCTGACCATTTGTACTGCATTCAATTTGACTTTGGTAAAAACCTCAAGTGTTTCAAGTGTCAGAAAGACACTTAAACTGATATTCCAGGCACAAAAACATTGGCATATTGTGAGACTCAACCAATTGTTTTTATTTTTTTATTTCACCTTTATTTAACCAGGTAAGCCAGTTGAGAACAAGTTCTCATTTACAACTGTGACCTGGCCAAGATAAAGCAAAGCAGTGCGATAAAAACAACAACACAGAGTTACATATGGGGTAAAACAAGACATAAAGTCAAAATTACAACAGATAATATATATACAGTGTGTTCAAATGTAGCAAGCTATGGAGGTAAGGCAATAAATAGGCCATAGTGCAAAATAATTACAATTAGTATTAACACTGGAATGATAGATGTGCAAGAGATGATGTGCAAATAGAGATACTGGGGTGCAAATGAGCAAAATAAATAACAATATGGGGATGAGGTAGTTGGGTGGGCTAATTTCAGATGGGCTGTGTACAGGTGCAGTGATCGGTAAGGTGCTCTGACAACTGATGCTTAAAGTTAGTGAGGGACATAAGAGTCTCCAGCTTCAGAGATTTTTGCAATTCGTTCCAGTCTTTGGCAGCAGAGAACTGGAAGGAGTGGCGGCCAATGGAGGTGTTGGCTTTGGGGATGACCAGTGAGATATACCTGCTGGAGCGCATACTACGGGTGGGTGTTGCTATGGTGACCAATGAGCTAAGATAAGGCGGGGATTTGCCTAGCAGTGATTTATAGATGGCCTGGAGCCAGTGGGTTTGACGACGAATATGTAGTGATGCCAGGTGCAAAATAAAAATGTTCCATGGCAAAACGATTGACAAGAAACAGAGCTGCCAAAGACAATAATACGAATTATTTCTCTCCCCACAGGATCCTTTTTTCTGTCTCACTCTCGGCTGAGACCACGTGCTTGCTATATTAGCCACCTGCTCGGGCCTCTTCTGCCCGGCAACATGAAGTACTGTCTGTCCAGACAGACCAGGCACTCACTGTTTACCTTCAGGATCAGAGTGGAATCAAACAGGAGAGGATATGGACCCTGAATGACAAGTCCAGAGGTGTCTGGATAGCAACAGACATCACCTTCCGGAGTCCACAGGCTACAAAGATAAAATGTATTAAAATATATTAAACCTCTACTGTACACATTTTGGTTTTTCATTAAAACAAATATTCCATCTTTTTTTGTTGTTGAAGATTTAGGCTTTCTGATAATGTATCAATAATAATAAATAAACAAATTCACTTTTACCCCCCACACCCAGAAATGTTTTTTGTGCCATAAGGGTACTATAACACCAAGGAAAATATTATATTTTCAGAACATTTACATTTCACTGCCTCTCAAACCTGATTCTGGGGTCCATTCTTCCTTGCTGTCACTTAGGCAACAGAATCACTGTCCTCACTATCAGAGTATGATCCTAACTGTTCGATTAGGCTACTTTCACTGATATAATGTCCCTGTGTCCATTGCTTGTGAATGTCAGTGGATATGTTGGCAAAAACATTGACCAAGACCATCATTTTACAGAATTGAATTGAGCATGATATTGCCCCGAAAAGTGGCCTAACTGCACAACGTTGCCTTGAGGCAACAAAAATAAAACTAAATGCTTTGAATATATAAAAAAACAAAATATGTTCAAAACCTAGCAAATACAGTGTGGAAAAAAAGTATTTAGTCAGCCACCAATTGTGCATGTTCTCCCACTTAAAAAGATGAGAGAGGCCTGTAATTTTCATCATAAGTACACGTCAACTATGACAGACAAATTGAGAGAGAAAAAATTCCAGAAAATCACATTGTAGGATTTTTAATGAATTTATTTGCAAATTATGGTGGAAAATAAGTATTTGGTCACCTACAAACAAGCAAGATTTCTGGCTCTCACAGACCTGTAACTTCTTCTTTAAGAGGCTGCTCTGTCCTCCACTCGTTACCTGTATTAATGGCACCTGTTTGAACTTGTTATCAGTATAAAAGACACCTGTCCACAACCTCAAACAGTCACACTCCAAACTCCACTATGGCCAAGACCAAAGAGCTGTCAAAGGACACCAGAAACAAAATTGTAGACCTGCACCAGGCTGGGAAGACTGAATCTGCAATAGGTAAGCAGCTTGGTTTGAAGAAATCAACTGTGGGAGCAATTATTAGGAAATGGAAGACACTGATAATCTCCCTCGATCTGGGGCTCCACGCAAGATCTCACCCTGTGGGGTCAAAATGATCACAAGAACGGTGAGCAAAAATCCCAGAACCACACGGGGGGACCTAGTGAATGACCTGCAGAGAGCTGGGAACAAAGTAACAAAGCCTACCATCAGTAACACACTACGCCGCCAGGGACTCAAATCCTACAGTGCCAGACGTGTCCCCCTGCTTAAGCCAGTACATGTCCAGGCCCGTCTGAAGTTTGCTAGAGTGCATTTGGATGATCCAGAAGAGGATTGGGAGAATGTCATATGGTCAGATGAAACCAAAATAGAACTTTTTGGTAAAAACTCAACTCGTCGTGTTTGGAGGACAAAGAATGCTGAGTTGCATCCAAAGAACACCATACCTACTGTGAAGCATGGGGGTGGAAACATCATGCTTTGGGGCTGTTTTTCTGCAAAGGGACCAGGACGACTGATCCGTGTAAAGGAAAGAATGAATGGGGCCATGTATCGTGAGATTTTCAGTGAAAACCTCCTTCCATCAGCAAGGGCATTGAAGATGAAACGTGGCTGGGTCTTTCAGCATGACAATGATCCCAAACACACCGCCCGGGCAACGAAGGAGATGCTTCGTAAGAAGCATTTCAAGGTCCTGGAGTGGCCTAGCCAGTCTCCAGATCTCAACCCCATAGAAAATCTTTGGAGGGAGTTGAAAGTCCGTGTTGCCCAGCGACAGCCCCAAAACAACACTGCTCTAGAGGAGATCTGCATGGCGGAATGGGCTAAAATACCAGCAACAGTGTGTGAAAACCTTGAAGACTTACAGAAAACGTTTGACCTGTGTCATTGCCAACAAAGGGTATATAACAAAGTATTGAGAAACTTTTGTTATTGACCAAATACTTATTTTCCACCATAATTTGCAAATAAATTCATTAAAAATCCTACAATGTGATTTTCTGGATTTTTTTTCTCATTTTGTCTGTCATAGTTGACGTGTACTTATGATAAAAATTACAGGCCTCTCTCATCTATTTAAGTGGGAGAACTTGCACAATTGGTGGCTGACTAAATACTTTTTTTCCCCACTGTATGCTTTTTTAGAGGTCCCTACACAAGTAAATATTTTTTATTGTCAAGTTCTCTATTTAAACATGCAAAATAATTAAATGTATCTGATCCTTTGCTCACACCATCATGCCCTCACATCGCTCTGCTTCCTCAAAGAAGGCCCCTGCCCCAATTCATACATCATACCAACTTCTGAATTTCATTGGATTATTTACAGACACGACATCATATATTGTCATGAATATAAAATTAATAATATGGGGGGCAACGATGTGCAGTAGAGGGTTAATTCCCTTTTTAGTTAGTCAATTGTTTTCATTCCTCGGTCACAATTGATGTCCTGTGCATGCCCTGTGTCGTGACGTAACTTACTTTAATGTATGACTTATTTATCGAATCACCTAACTATGTTTAATTGTCATTTTATTAAATTAATCATGTAACAATTAACGGAAGAAGTTGTTTAACCAGTTACCATCTCCCGAATTAAACTCTTAGAAGATATATATGTTATATATCGATAACAGTCACTTATTAAATCAGTCTCATTCTGAACGTCTCATAATCCTTGAACCTGCAAGAACCCTAACCTTATTGATGAATCAGCAATACACAAATTGGCTTAATTATTTATTTACTAACTAAATAAATAATAACACAATACAAACACAACACACACACACACATATATAGGTTATTGATTACTAACGTAATACAATGAAAACAGGTCCCTAGTGGACTGGACTAACAATAGCATGAATGCTTGGGTAGTGGAGGGGTCAGAATGGAAGGGAAAGACAGAGATTCAAACTATCGTGATTACTTTGGAAACTACGCTACACAGAAATACAAATGCTTAAAACCCCACTAAACGCTCATTTGGATTAGAAATGCAACATGTATTTACATGTTGCTGTCCTCGATAGTTGAGTTGATGATGTAGGACTCTGGTTTGCCCACCAGAGATCCCAATGTCCTTGGTAGAGTTTCTGGTCATAGTAGTGGTTAGATTGGGTACTTCAGATGTACCAGCGGTTGTCTGAGAGGGATTGTCCTCTCCTCTCGTGTCTTAGTGAAAGTTCTCTAGACGACTATACATGCCAGCTGCAGACTGAAATGATAAGGTCTAGTGCATTGTCTTCTTCTTCACCTCATGTAGAGGTTGAGCGTTTCAGAGTTTCTCCATTTCAAACGTGTGGACTAACGTCTTGTGTTTTCTGGTCTTTCTGAAATTCAACCATTTGCAACGTTTAGCTCACGCTTCACATCTGCTGGTCTAAAGAGTTTCAACCATTTTAAGCCGTGGGGCTTGCTGGTCTGGTAGAAATTCAACCATTTGCAAAGTTTGGCTGACGCTTCACATCTGCTGGTCTAATGTTTAAATGTTTTTCAAGGCGTTTTATGCACTCAGGGTAAAAGGGGCGTTCCATCATGTTTGTGCTCATCTGGGTGTGGCCACTGACTGAGAACAAATCAATATGGAAAACAATCATCTCATCTAGAATGCTAAAATCACATTGTTATCTTCACAAAATTATTATTATACTTAATAATTCGTTTTATACAACAATTAGATGCAAACCTCATAACTGGGAAGTGTACCCACCCAGAGATACAGTTATGTTGTTCCACCGTCTTTAATGACATCACAACATAGTAACGAATTTGACATGATTGTTCTTTAAGTCCCCACCAACCATTTCCCACATACTTTTAAGTAGGAATGTTGTTTCATTAACCACTTTTGGATGTTGGAGTTTTGGCGGGAAGACTTCCTTTGTTAACAAAGGGGTCCTTTCTCCCAATACTTCATGGCAAGGAAGAGAAAGTCTGGACGGTATTTACGACCGGTCATAAAACTGGCCCCCAGGAAATGGGGTGTTCAAACCTTTGCCTAGCCGACATGTTTGATCCTCAACCCATGAGGGCAAGTCATGACAGTCCCCCTCTGGTGGTTCAATCTTGGTATTATTATGCAAGTTGCAACCCACCATAAAAATGACCACGGGATGTCCTGGTTGTGGATCATCGTTGCAGTCCCCCTCTGATGGTTTACCTTGGGAGGATCTCTGCAAGCTGCAGGCCACCACAAGAATGGCCAGGGGATGTCCTGGTTGGGGATCGCCGTTGCGGTCCCCCTCTGGTGGTTTATCCTGGTAGGCTTTCTTCCAACGGAGTAGTCCACCACAAGAATGGGCAGCGGGCGTCCTGGTTGGGCATCGCCGTTCCGGACGTCCAGGCTGGTAGATCTGGGCAGTAACTTAGGCAGATGTTAACAAGACACACACACACTCACGAAATACATAATTACATTTCTTTCTCAAATGAGCGGCGTTGTGGCACTAACTGATGGTTGTATGGGGAACTTGTTTATGGCTCTATCACTTCGTGTCAGAGAAAATGAAACAAAATGAATAAAAGTATAAACAAAAGAGATGCAAAATATAGTTACCACACCTTAATCATCTAATTGGACTGTATTCTATATACATCCACGGTCTTGGCTAAATGACTCTATCATGGCATTGTCTCTAATGTCATGTCTAGGGTTTTCCCACTTACAGTGAGGGAAAAAAGTATTTGATCCCCTGCTGATTTTGTACGTTTGCCCACTGACAAAGACATGATCAGTCTATAATTTTAATGGTAGGTTTATTTGAACAGTGAGAGACAGAATAACAACAACAAAATCCAGAAAAAAAGCATGTAAAAAATGTTAGAAATTGATTTGCATTTTAATGAGGGAAATAAGTATTTGACCCCTCTGCAAAACATGACTTAGTACTTGGTGGCAAAACCCTTGTTGGCA